CATGTCAAATAATAAAGACAGGATACAAAACCCTAGAGTCAGTGTAATACCAATTTCGCTTATATGCATATGCACAAGGGGGTGAGGGGACACGGAAAGAAAACAAACCCAAATATTAGCAGTGGTATTGGATTCTGGGTTTCCTTTTTTTTAAGTACTTATTTATACTTTACTATATTTTATGAGGTTCTGTTATAAAATGTATTAGGTGTGACCATATGAAGTTGCCATTTTGCAGGTAAGAAATGGTCAAATGTTAGTACTTTCATATACTTTAATATTACTTCATCATCAGGAAAAAAACTTTCGAAAACAAGGAGTTGCTTAGGTAGGATTAGGAAGATGTATCTTTGAATATATATTACATATTTGAAAGTTTCAATGAGAATAAAAGAAACTGGAGAAAAGAATAAATGAATAGTAAATCAAATAAGGTTCTAAGGGTCTAGTATGTGGTGCACGTGTCTTATCTGCTACAGAGATTCTTAACCTATTTGCAGTAAGCCTAAAATTACATGTTCTGTTGATAAAATCTAACACAAGATTACAAATAGCATTCTAAAGGTCTCGATTAGACATTGCTACTCCTCTAGAAAACCTAAAACTTAGCTGTAGTCGCTGACATTCCATACTTAAGATGTAATTAGTCCCTCAAATTGTTGGCAGTTCACTGTAAATATTTCTGCAACTGATGATTTTTCTGTCTAATGTTACGATTAATATATAACAAATTACTTTCGTTAAACAAGAGGTAAATAGTCAAGATATAAAACAAACCAGAATGGAGTATGTTACTAACTGATACATGGACTTTTAATTCTTTCTACAGCTTTTTTTAATGGTAGAGCTATGTGTTTTATTATGAGCAATAGGATTGTCATCTCCCTTTTCAGTCTTAATAATTAAATAAAGAACTCAACAGTTCCAGTTGAAGTTCTGGGACAGTAAGTTCCCACACAATGTCATTACCATACCACATAGAGTGATAGTCAGCTCTGCCAGAGCCCTCGAGTTGTTAAAATCTCCTAAGACATAAAAACATATTTACTCTGTGAAGCAATAATTTTAGTGGAGTAACCATCACTGAGTTGTTTCTATAAGGTGACAGAAAAAAAAAAAGAGACAGAAAACTTGGGTCTAAGATCAAAAGGATCTTGGAATGCTAATGTGCTGGGTTGGGTTGGTGTTAAGGCACTGATCCAAAAAGAGAGAGAAAGAGAAGAAAATATTATGCACTTCATTTTTCTCATAAATCTTATCCCCTCTAACTTCTTTTTTTTTGTCTTTTCCCTCACGACTTGTGTGAATTCTCTCTCTCCCTCCCTTTCTTTCTCTACTGCTTTTCTTCTCTTTCACCTTTAAATTCTGTCACACAATTAAATTTTGGAGACGTCACCCCATTTTCATGAGGCCCTAAGTACCTCATTAACATTTTTGAAAGGTTAGCAATCATTAAGAAAAAGATTGAAATTAGATAAATTTTTTAAAATCTTCTTGAATTTAACTATTTGCAAAAATAAACTTATAATAGGCTAGAATTTAATTGCACTATCATCAAATATGTCAAACTCCATATGCAAAGATTCCTAAAATAGTCTGTTAAACTTATAACACAATAGTTTCATTTTTAAATATCTTTAGAATAAAAGAGCCAAGGTTTTGTAAAAAAAAAAAAAAAAATAGTTAGTTTAAAATTACTTCATATAACTCTTACTTTTTTTGCTTATTTTCTAAGTATAAAAGTCATAGAAAGTTATTCTAGAAGTAAACACTACAAAATTCGGTGTTTAAGCAAAAAGTAAAAGTTCCCAATATCCCTACTGAGAGATAACCAACAGTAACTACGATGTCTATTTCTCCAACTCTTCTTCCAATACATACAGTTGTGCGTTCTCTCCCCACCACCACCCCTTCCTCCTCCTTGAAAAGTATCTTGGTTTCTTCTCCTAAATTCTTTCATTTCCATACAGAAGAAACAAGCTTAATAGGTAAGCTATCAAGAGATAACCAATCAGCAGCAAACTACAAGGATATTTAGTGGTCTGATCGTTTTTGCCAGTTTGCAACTATATAGAAATACAAACTGTGCCCAACTATACTATCTATAGGAAGTTTTTGGAAACGATATTTAGTTAAAGAAAGTAAAGGTGATCATTTTAAACAAGAGGTCATAAATTCCAATCCAGATAACTAAGGTTTGAGTATTGGGGCAGTTTCTGGATTTTTAAATGACATTTAGTGTTTAAAGCAGATATCAAAGTACTGGAGACTGACCTCGCTCTCCCTGGGCTGCTGGCCTTGGCAAGAGAGTGTCCCTCAGCATTCCTTAAATCAGCAGACCCTTGAAACAAAGCACAATAGCAAGGTTTTAATGAGTGAGATAACCCTTCTCATTAAAAAGGTAAAAAAATTAAAAAAGCAACAAACCCTGCAGGATGGGCTCAGCAATAAGCCCAAAGGATTTCAGAGATATAGTCCTTGCTTATCAGAATAGAAACCACAACAGAACAATGGTTTTAATCCTATGCTCTGTGTTCTAAACTCTCTCCAGATTAATTGGCCTGGAGTTTCGCCAAGCTCATTAAAAAAGAAACTTCTGGACTCCTACAGCAAGGTTGGTGTTTGCTGTCTCCGCAAACCAGAGGGCTCTCCCAGCAAGGACAAGAACTTGGTGGAACCACAGACTCCTGGGCTTTCTTTACTAATAGTATTTCTCAAAAAAAAAAAAAAAATTTTTTTTTGAATTGCATTTTAAAAATTAAACTCCAAGGATGCTTGCTTTTCATACTTGCTTTTATTTTTAACTGAAAAATTGGTCCTTATTTATTCTCCTTGTGGTACCTCCCATGTCCAGTTACATTTTATAGCTACTGAACAATACACCACCCGCCCCTGTAATCTGTGACCACTCACATGGGTTATTAGATAACTCTGATTAGCTTGTCAAGGCCTCCAGAGCATGTGGACACAGGCATTTTAAGTTATGTTCCAAGGAGGTGGAAAGACAAATCCTTTTTTTTTTCCTGCATAAGCTTCCTCCACCAACCCAATCCCCCTAAATCTCTCAGGCCTGCCAAGGGCCTGACCTCCCAGTTTCTGCAGCAAAGGGTGAAGTTTGGCGGGAGAAAGGCCCAGCAGATTAAAGCCTCTGTTCAACAATTATTTTCTCATTCCAGCAGGAGTGAAACAGTTTGCTATATGCTGCCTGCCTCAGTAATCCTTAGGGACCTTCAGGAAGCTTGTTCAGGGGTGGCTAAGAATTACATACCTCCTATCAAGGTAAATATAAAGTCCAAAGCCATAAGATATCATGGAAAACCAAATGAATTTATCAAACTCCCAATCTGTGTTGGTGAAAACCAACACAAGTCTCATGCAATAAAATCTGAATGTGATTTCCAAAACGACTTTACAAACACCTGTGTCGTTAAATGGTCTTAATTTGGTCTTCTTAAATTCAAAAACTACCTGACCACAAGTCAGTTTTCCTGAAGTGTTCCCTGTACAGCCTGTGACCACGCAGTTTAGACTATTGAGTCTGCCTTTTTTATCAAGGAAATTTCTGGCTGCCCAGATCCCATGTCCCTCTCCCCTCTACTCCTCTCCGAAGAACACCCTCCTATCTTCCAACCCTCACCTCAGATCACTGGGATATCTGAAAATCTGAAAAGACAAAAGCCAGAGAAAGGAAGACATAGAGCTGAGGGAAAAACGTCTGAGTTGTGTGGTCCAAACTACTTCGCCCTCCTCCCCAAGACGGGCCAGGCAACCAGACTAGCAGAGGGAGCCGCCGGCGTGGAGGATTAAAGGGGGGGGCAGGGGGTGCAGCCAGTGGGAGAGTAAGTGACAGGGTGTGTGTGTTGGGGGTGACCTGTCTAAGCTAATTCCTCAAAGTCCTCTGCTCCTAGAGTGTGGCTGTGCAGGACTAGGGCATGACCAGGTTGCGCTGGCACAAAGTTCCCGTTTTCATTTTTTTCTTTAGTAGTGAAATCACAGCTTCTTTTTAACCCCGCAGAAGAATCCGAGGCTCCTGGCTGCTACCGCGAGTGACAGGCGGCAAGAGCGGCGCCTTCAGCTGTCGGTGCCGCGCCTCACTGCGGCCCCGGCATCTGGAAAGACGCTGGCATTCTGAGGTGACTAGCGGGAGATCTGGGCTGGGGGAGTGCAGGGTGCTCGCGGAGACCCGAGCGCCGCGACCCCGGGGGGCGGGGCGGGGGGGGCGGGCAGCTCCGGATCCCGTGAACCGGCGGACTGACGAGATTCACAGCACCCTCAGGCGGGGCTCTTTCCTTTCTCTCACCCCCCTCCCTTGCTTTTCTTTTTTGTTTGACCACCGGCAGCCGGGGGCCGAGCCACCCGGGCACTTGCTGGGAGCGGCGGCGATTAGCGCTCTAATCCCGGGTCCCGACCGGAGGAGCAGGGGGCGCCAGGCCCGGCGGGGACCTGCTCAGGGAGCGGGCGCCGCGGCTCCCAACGTCCCGCGGGCAGGTCCGGCCGCCGGGGCACCGTGGGAACCGGGGACCTCGCGGATCCTGGGCAGCGGCTCTCAGTTCCCGGGGTGGGGATGCCCGCCCAGCCGGGGCGCGCAGGCGAGGGAGGTAGGCGGCTTGACCCGACTGTGGCGGGAACGACGCCGAGAGGGGCGCAGCGACCCCCGCCCTCCGGGCCCTCCTCGCGCCGGGGGAAGACACGAACACCAACGCCAGCGCGGCCTTCGCGACCCGGGGTCCCGGCGCCTCGCTCCGGGGCCGGGCACCTGAGGGGTGGGGACTCGTCCTCTTGACGAAGCGGGCGTCCCCCACCCTCAGAGGCTACAGCGCTGGGCGCTGCCGGGGGCTCCGCGCGGGGTGCGGACGTCCCCCAAGCTTGGGGGAGGCTCGGACGCGAGCAACGTCCGGCTGGAGAAGTTGGGGGTAGAACGAAGGGGGCTGGGGAGAGGCCGTGGGAGCGGACCAAATGCACAGCGGGAGTCAGGAGTGGGGAGAGTCGCCGGGACTTACCTATCAGCTCCCTCATGCTGCCCGGCGCCACCGCCACCGCTCCGGCCGGCCGGGG